TGAGATTGGAACAATATCCTAGAACTGGTTATCTCCGAGCTCCCAATTTAGACACTCACGAAAGCTTGCCTGTCTTATGCTTATTTATCAGCTTAACTGTGTGGAAAATAGCATGTAGACCTTGTTAACTATCAGAGCATGATAGCACTGTATAAGTTTGTTAGTGCATGTGGGACTTCCAACTCATTTGTGGAGCTGAGCAGCAGTGGCAACAATCTTCTGTACTCAAAGATGGCCCGGTCTGATATGCAAGCATTGGGGTCCTAGGACCATGGCACTGTTTCTGCAGTGGCTCTGAACATGGCCTGGGTGTTGAAGCAGCAGTTTCCTGAGACTACACACATAACACCTTGAGAACAGCCTGTCACATAAAGCTTTATTTTCACCTCTATCATTCCCTTCCAGCAGATCTCCATAAAATCCAGACCAGAAGCCTTTTGGTCTGCATGAATAGTCCAGAAAGCACTTGCTGATTGCTGTGGAAGGTGCCCCTTACTGGGAAGGAAGGGACAGATAGAAGTGGTATCAATAGAGAGGTAGTTTTGGCTTTAAAAAGGAAATGGGCCATTTCCCAAACACTGAGACGTCACTCCTGAGTAGTGATTGCTGGTTTCATTGGCAAGTTTCCTGTATCTCTCTCGCAAGAGGAATGCTGCACTTTTTGGTTGTCTCTGACGAGTGAAGATCCCCTTTTTATTCCCCAGTACTCTCTGTGGTGCTAAAATTTAAAAAAAAAAGCAAGGCAGAAAGTTAAGATGACTCCTGGTGGGCCTAACTGGAATCACACTGGAGTCAAGCTGGGCTCTTACAGAAATGTCCTCTTACAGGACTGCTTGGTCTGAAGTGACCATTTATGGATTAAAGTTAATGATACTAAACTGTAAGTATCATTGCTGTCCCAAAACACTTCAGCTTCCCGATGTGTTAATTTCTAGTCCATGAGGGGAAAAAAAAAATCCAAAATAGTTTATCTTTCACTTCAGAATAACATTTAAAATATTATGGGTATCCAGCTGTCCAGTAAATGGGCAGAGAGGGAAGGGGAGATGGAAACCAAGCAGGCCTCAGAAGGCCTGGGGCTTTCTGAACAAACAGCTCTCGCAGTGGGAGCCAGGATCCCAACCAAAGGTGCCTACATGAGATCTGCTATCTGAGTTCAAAGTCCTCTCAGGCCAACTTCCAGCTTGCCCTCACCACCTGTGGTCAGTCCAAGGTGAGGCTGGGAGTAGACAAAGCTGTCAGTGACCTCTCTTCCCCTAGCGAGACTGCAGCTAATTGGACATTTAAATGGGAAGGAAAGCTTTCTCACCAAAAGGTGCAAGATAGTTTCCTCTGTATGAATCCTAGGCACTGACAAGGAGTTGATCATATGAATCCTTACATCAACCTACGGGTGGACGCTGGACACGTTACCCTCACTTAGGAAAAGGTTAGAGAACTCGCCCAGGGTGACCCAGCTCATTTCCTACCACACAAAGTTGGTGCACCCCCCTCCACAAAATGGTCACACAAGATATTTCCAAAATCCATTAATCTCACTCGCCAAGCAGAGTGGAGGTTCGTGGTCTTTTTTCTCTTTACCTTTTCCCTTTCATCTTGTTCAATCATCCCCTTTCCATTCTAACTCTGGTTAAAACTTTAACCATTCAAAGGCCTGTCATTCCCCATTTACCAATGCATCATAATTCCCACCACTACCATATCCTTCTCTACCCTACCAAAATTCCATCCTAAGTTCATGGACGTGGAGAAATCTAAAGTTACAGGTGAAATGGGACACTTGGAACTTATCACTCCTCCTCTACATTCTCTCCGTTGAAGACTTGAACACTCCTACTCTCATGACGTTTTCAAACTTGCCTGCATTCACCGGACCCGCTTTCTATGAGTGAATAATACAAAACTGTAACCCCTGAACTTCTCAGCTTTGTGCCCTACTCTGCAATGATGAGTATCTCCCAAGTCAGTCCAGTCTGAGGTCCAGGTTTTCCTCATACTGTTGTGAAATAGACAAAGGTAAGTTGCTGCAAGATAGTGACTCTCCTGTTTGCTTTTTTGCACAAAATGATTTGGGGAGCTGCACAGGATTTGTTGCTGCCCAGGCACAGCTTGCTTTTCCGAGGGAATTCTCTACGCACCCTACACTGATTAAGGCAGCTCTCCTCCCTTTGTTTCCAGTATTCTTCCAAGCAAATGTTCAGAACTGGAAAGCTAACCTGAAAAAGTCAGAAAGAGTACATTCCGCAAGCCAATCTGCCACTTACACTGGTTAGTCATAAAGTCGGCGAAATTCCAGATGAGCTCTCCGATCACGTATTCTTTGCGTTTTTGATCCAGAACCAAATGATACTGCTCCAGCAGACTTCTCTGGTACTCTTCAGTGAACATAAGAGGTGGATCCTGGGATTCATGGCAAAGAGAATTTAAGAGTCAGAACTGGCAGAACTGTAAATGTTAGATAAAAATAAAGATCCACTTGATTATGACCAAAATATCTGTCCTCAGAGTGGGCTGTAGCGACTGCTGGACGTGCTGATGCTGGTATAGAGACAGCCAGGGAATGACGTAACCCAGAGTACAGAAAGATTTTTTTTTAAGCCTTATTTAGTAACTGCTTTATTTATAAAATATAATTTGATATTTGCTTTATCTTACTTTTCCATCTAAAAGCTGAACTATACTAGAAATAAAAACGTGTCTTTGCCTCGAGTTTTAAGTCACTGCCGGTGCATAATTTGAGCACTAGTATGACTCAGATTTAAGTTGCCTCAGATTCCTCCGTAGCCGGTCTGGACAAGGTCAGCACATTCACCCATTCTGCAAATAATCCAGTATCTGGTTGTGATAGGCACTAGAGGTGAACAGACAGATGGGCAGGGAAAGTGTCCCTGCCCCCACGGGCTTTACAGTCTAGGAACACACAACTTCTAAGTGTAGTGTGGGTGAGTACACAGGAGGAGCCAGGGGACACTCAGCAGGGAGCTGAGACGAGGGCCACAGGTCAGGTGACAAGAAGGCCATGTACCACAAAAGCTGAAGGCCACTTCTATTGACTTCATTAATATTTAGTAACATGCTCCCACATGTCACGTACTATGACATAATGACAGAGAAGATGTTCCTGGGACATACAGTCCCAGTTTTCACCTCTTGAGAATTCTTTGGAGGCTCAAGTCTTAGATGCTCTGGATACATTTCATTTTAGGAAAAAACAAAGCCTTCTTCTGGCTTTTTCTTTTCCAGCGAGAAGGACTAACATGCTACATGAGATGCACTGAAAATACGGAGTGCAAAATACTGAAAACTGCACAACTGAGTCATATTTTGTTCCAGTTCCAAAGTTGAATTTGAGGGCAGGGCAGGATGTAGATTTTCTTACTTTGTTTTAATGGAAATGAACCATCATTGTCTAATACAGTAGCCACTAGTCACATGTGGCTATATTTAAAATTAACCAAATCAATTCAGTCATGAGTCACATTTCAAGTCCTCAGTAGTCACATATGGCTCGTGACTCCCATTTTGTACAGTACAGAGATAGAGCATTTCCATCACTGCAAAGGTTTGATCAGCGCTGACTCTTTCAGAGTTGGTTACCTTTTCAAAGAGGGACAGCAAATAGGCGTGTCCATGAAAGACTTTTCCTACTTTACTAGTTTATAGAAGTGGCATTCTGTGTAAGATGAATTTAAGGGATCTAGGACAGTGTAGTCCACTGCAGGCAGCTGCCCAGCATACAAAGGATAAGCATGATAAGAAATGTGTGTCAGTGGTTACGGCGCTGGCCACATGCACTGAGGCTGGCGGATTTGAACACAGCCCAAGCCAG